AGCAAAAATTGTCCAAAAAATATCTGTCCAAAAACGCTTATCCAGAAGAGAAGGGGAATTTGGTAAAAACTGGAGATAATCATTATGTCAGAATGTGTAAACAGAATGAGATACAAAAAGATTTTGATGAGTGAAGGCACCTTGTGACGTCAAGAAAGGACGGACCACTTGAAAAAGAAGGTTCTGAGATTTTCAGGAGGCTGCTGGTGACGTTAAACAGAGCGAATCAAAAATTCAGAATAAAAATAGATCCTGAGAATTTCAGAAGGCAACTTAGGACGTCCAAAAAAGCACACAAAAATTTTGAAAAATGGATCTTGAAATTATTAAAAGTTGATATGTGATGCTGAATAAGACGGACCAGATATTTGGGGAACGGAATTGAGACTTTTATGGTGCAATGTGTAATTTATGAAATGAAAAGGAAAAAAATAGCAACGAAGAATACTGACCTGTTCGTATGCATCCCGGTGACATGCAAATATCCTCGTTTTCATTGTTGAGGTACAAATATAATAAACCGACGAATAGCAGTAAAGACAGTAGAAAAAAGAATAGCGCTAGTCCACCGAAAACACGTTCTCGCGCAGCCATGCGCTTCTGGGTGGTGGGACCGAGCGGCTGGTCCGTGTCCCGAAGTGCTTTGGTCGTGGTGGTGCCCGAAGTGACGGCAAGGGCTACTCGGCCGTCCGAAAGCTCCGTTGCCACAGCCGAATTCGCAATATTGCCGTCCACAATGCCTTCTCCTCTACCACCACCGCCTTCCGACCCTCTCCCCTCAGCTATGGTGAATTTCGAGTAAACCACCGTGTTCTTCTGCAGTTTTGTAGGAGATCCACTAAAATTGGTACAAATTAATTATGGTCGGAAATCTCGATATTATAGAAGAAAATAAGGCAATATAAAAACGTTAAGAAAGTAAGAGATCAAAGTGGAGTTTTACTTGATATTGTCCAATCGATGAGTACCATATTACAGGTGGAGTTATCATGAAGAAGTTGAAGAGAAGTGGAAGAAGAGAGAAGAGAAGCTGCTTTAAGAATAATCGGATAATTATTGGAAGAGGTGGATTTTAGAGATCTGAGATTAGTGAAATTTGTTCATTTGGCTATGAGCAGAAGAGAAACCAAAATTATTGCCTTGTACGGTTAGAGCTTACCCAGTGAAAAAGGAAAACAACAAGGCAATAGTAGAGAATCTTGAATAGATTTTTCGGGTAATCAAAGATAGACAAACTCTTCTGAGTTTCTTGTCTTGACTACGTCAACGAGTTTTCCAATCAAGAACGAGGGGAGTAATTTAGAAAGTCAATCTCGGGTGAGTGCGAAAAAACTTTTTGCAAAACTTTTTGTTTTAGTAAGCATTACAAACGAATAACTTCAGACAAGTGATGAAAATTTTCAACTCCTACATTTTTGAAGAGTGAAATGATTGTTTTCATCCTTAATCGTCTACACGTGTTGGAAAATATTCCTGCTCAGTGTTAGCAAAGAGGTTACATTGCTTCCTTTCGATGTTAATTTCGTTAAAAGTAGCAAGTAAAAACATTTGTCACTCATGCTGATTTACTACAACTGTAATGGCTATTGAAATTTGATTCCACAGTAGGAAAGAAATCACTGAGCTACCTAAACTGCAGTTCTCCGAGTAGGAGATGCGAAGAAAAGAGCTAGATTTGGACATAACTTGGACACCTACTCGTTTTTATTAGGTGTTCCTCATCTAAAAAATGCAGAGATAAAGAATTGGTAATTTGAAGTATG